TTGAAAGTTCAGGAACTAAATTTGATATTTAACCTATGTTTAACTAGAGCCGATCATTTTGACTTTTACAATGTAAGATATTTGATGTACCTATTTTGAATTAATTTCATTTATTAGGCACTTTTCATTTATAGGTTTGTCCCAGAACTTTGCAACTTAGCTTAATTGGGTTCAAAGAGCTTTACAATAATGCTAACTTATTTTTCTTTTGATATTACCTGTTAAACCTGTCTTGAAATCCATATTCCAAATGAATGCATTTAATGTTAATTAGGATTAAATAATTCACTTTTGTGCACTATTCCCTTTAATTTATCCGTCTAGGAATCTCTATGATGAACCATATGACAATTTTGAGATCTTCTTCTAAATCTATTATTTTTCATCAAGGATCTCATATTTATGTCCTCACTGGTGACAGCAAGTGACTCTAGACACTAGCATGTAGAGATTACAAAATGTGTTTTTTTTTTAATAAGAGAAATATATTAATCAAATTAAACAGCAGCAACAGTTCTTGAAACTACTGTTCAATGCAGTCACAAAAATAACAAAAGGGAGAATTCAGAAGGACTCTTATTCAGTACAACATAATTCATAACTGAGTTGGATCCTAATTTAGTAAGAAAATCTACTGCTGTATTTGCTTTCTGGTAGATCTGGATCAGTCTAAGGTCAGAAAGCTGGCTGAGGAATTGCCTGCAGCCAGAAATTAAGATACCCAATGAATGAAAAACTTGGCTTTGGTTAGCAGTATCTGAACGAGCTTTAGTCTGAGATCACAAAATGTTGCTGAATAATTCTATCCTATAATTTGATCTACTAAAATCTACACATACAAAATCTCAACTAAAGGGGACCATCTAGACATCTTTGTTTTTAAGCCTTGTTTCATTTTGGTGATTTTAAAGCTACTAATGTACTCAGCAGTGGAAAGAGATTTAACCTTCCACTCTCCTTGGGTAGAGTTTATGCCACTCCAATGAGAGCCACCCCCTTGATGGCTCCACCAGGTAACACCAGTGTTTTGTAGTTTCTTTCTCCTTCCTAAACCTCTTTTTCTTTCTTTCTTGCCTAATTTACCTTTCTCTGCATTTTCTTTCCATCATCTATCAAAATCCTAAAAAAAATTACGAAACCCTAAAACCAAATTGTTCTTAGATTTCACTTTATTTCATCTCTACATGGCTAATGCTGCTTGGGTATGCGATTTGAATTCTGGAGACCAATCTGAGGATAGGTGCACAATTGTGGTGTTTGGATGCTTTACCACTAAATCTAAGGTCAATTAGTGCAAGATTTATGGGGTCTTGGCCAAAGATTGGACAGATTGACAGGGTTTTCAGGATGATTCCATGGTGGACAAGCGATTCAGGGATGGTGACAGCCAACTGGTAGATGGCTTATGCATTGTCACTGGTGAGGTGACTTCAGAGTTTCCAGGCCTGCTAATCAAAACTCGGGCTGTTTGGAAGAACTTTCTGGAGGTGAATAGAGAGGATCCCTGTTAGAGCACTGGATTTAGATGTTCTGGCTATTATCTCAGATGACGAAGTGACGCTAGTTCTGCAGATCAAGGGGAAAGCATTTCTAGCTAAGAGGCCAAACCAATGTAGTGTTCCGACGGGTGGTAAGCAGTTAAGAGGTAGGATTGGCCTCAACTTAACTGTTAATGTTGAGAAATGCTTGCTTCTAAGTGGAATACATATTATGTGAGTTTGGTCATTTCACTGTTCTATTGAGGATGGGTTTTCAATATGTATTATGAGTTGATGATACTTTGTCACTAAGGAGGGCTGACAGGATCAAGATCGTGTGTGCTTGGATTTATCATATCTGTGGTTAGTTATGGTGGTAATTGGGAAGAGGAATATACAGTGAAATTATTAAGAATGTCTGATGAGGGTACACTGAAAGGGCTTGTTTTTGCTTGTTTTTGCTTGGACCTAGTTGCTACACAAGTTGAAAGGGGTGGTGGTTCCCTGAAATTAACAACCAAGGAGATACGAGTTCTGATGTTGTTGGTAGGGGCCAAGGGTTGGGACCTACCTTGGTCAGTTATGGGAAAAAATAGATTCATCTTAGGTCCTTTTAAAGTTCTTTCTATTAGTTGTTTGGGTGGTTGGAAAATTCAAAAAATAGTGTGTTTTTTGTTTGTGGTGAAGATGAGAGGTGGTGTATGGGGCAGGTGAGTAGGAGAAGTGGTATTATTATCTTTCTGGCTATTGCCCTTGGGAAGAGCATTTTTATACTCATCTTGGTCCTGGTGGCTTTAACTTCCACTGCCCCTACTCTCCTCTCTCAGTCTTCAAGTTTGGTTCTTCTTGATGCCTCTTTTCGTAGGACTGTGTTAACTGTTGGTTGCAAGGTTGGTGAGGGTAGGGGTCAGAATTTGGTAGCATCTTCATTTTGATAATTTGTAGTGGTTTGACATGTGGGAGAAGGCACAGGTGGATGACAGCATAATTTTTATCTTTTCATGACACCACATGCAACCTTAGCAGTCATATATTTGCCTCCAAGTATGTATTGGCATCTTCCTTGGTGGTGCAACACTCTATGGTTTTTTATCCATCTGAGCTCCTTATACTTTTGGCCTGTGTAGTTTGTTTGGAAGTGTAATTCTTGTTGGAGTGCTTAGCAGAAATACTTTTGAGTGGTCATGGTTTCATGGGAAGTAGGCAGTTTCTTTGGAGCTTCTTCAAGGTGATGGCAGCAAGATTGCAATCTTTCCATCTCTCCAAACATGTGTTCTGGTGGATTCATTCCAATTTCTCAAGTGCTTTACCTTATCAAAGAGACCAATGGTGTTTATGCAGCTTCCCTCACATTTTCCTCCTATTTGTGATGTTGTCTTTGTTTTAGTCACAGTTGGTATCTTTGTGGAGTTATCACTGGCAACGCTTCTTGGTAGCCATTGCTTTAAAGTGTCCTGCAGCAGTGAGGGGAACCCTTCTTCTAGTCAGCTACTTTGCTGGCTTGGAGTCATTCCAATTTCCGGAAGCTTTATGCCATATTTTTATCTTCTGTTTTCCTTTTTGTGATGTTTTTTTATCTATGTTGCTCAGGTTTTTGCCTGTTTACTTCTTATGTAGTGGACTATTGAGGTTTGCTTAAATGAATAGTTTTTCTTTTGGCCCAGAAAAAAATACTCAGCAGTGTACCATAACAAACGATGTGCTGTATTCTTAAACCTGGAATTGGGGCTTTGTATATTTTTGATAATTTGCAATGAAACTGGTGAGTTTTTTGGCAGGAAAACAGAGAACAAGCAAGAGCAATTACAGGAATGGCATTGGCTTTGACATCAGAGGACATCCAGCCATAATCAGCCGGAATAATTTGCCATAACTGCAACCGCCACTGTGTCATTGCTGGAACTGCCATTTCTACTACGGCAATCTTCCTACAGCGATTTTCTTAGTTAGAACTACTGAGTTCACGCAGCCTTAAGCATACGTAAGAATACAGTACAAAAAAATAGGAAACGGGAAGTGAAGGAGATGCATATCAGAAAAAATCGGAGCCACAGCTGAAGATACCAGTTGTTTGATGGTTTCATTTGTCGGTTTCCTCACTTTTTCTTAGAACTTTTCTTGCTAAATACTATTATATTGACACATTTTTCTTTTAATTATTATATTGTAATGTATGAATTCAATCAATTAGTTATGGATGGCATCCAAAGTACACGCATCTTTTGTTGGTAGGACATATATATAAATATTCTCTCCCCTAGCTCTGGTAGCTTTTTCGGTGCAGTAGACAAAGAGTTTAGACGCCGACGATGGTTTTGTCGATAACTTCAAGATCATGCAACAACAACCTTGCCAGTAAGTTGCAAAGATCTGGGTAATATCTGCTCAGGCAGCTTTTTAGATGAGTGAGCAGAAAATCCTATGGCCTACATTGGTGAAGTTACTGGTGCAATCACTCTGCGGCAGGTGGTGCAGAGCAACGGTAAGTGTAATTTGTTTAATATTATTATTTTTTATATGTTTTTGCATTGAATCCAATTATTTTATGTATATATTATTTTTTTTTAGAATTTAAACTATAAAATATTGTGATTAGTTCATTTGATATTAACATTATCAAATTTATTGTTTTAGATAAGTTATATATATAAATGTTTGTTAATAATTTTTCAATTTTTTTTGGTTAAAATTTTGGTGTGAAATTTTAATATTATAATAATTATTTGATGGCAATAAAAAATCCATCTTTCAACTTCCCACCACGCATTTGCCAGTAAATGAGGGCAGGACGCTCAAAATTTTTGGTTCTTAGCTTCCAACAATCACCTTGTGGGTAAAAAATGAAGCGGGAACACAAAATTTTCAGATATCTTTGCTCCTGCGTCAAATTTTATGGAACTTATGTATCTTATGTCAGTAAAATGAATACCGACAAAGTACACGTAAAATGAATACCAATAAAGTACACATAGGTAAGAGGCTCTATATATTCTCAGAACTCCCAGCCTTCTAATTTTGTTTTTGTCTTCTTCTTCTTATTCTTCTTTCTTCTGCTCCCTTATATATCTCTCCTTCTTTCCATTAAAATGTTGCTCAATTTTATCATGTTTATATTTACATTATAGTTATATTAATTTTGATTTATATCTTCTTAATCTCCTTTTATCTTTTTCTTCCATTCTTTCTCCCTTTTCTTCCATTCTTTCTCCCTATCTGATTAAAGGTGAATTTGAGTTATTAAATAATTTATTTACACTTCTAATGTTTTTTTCATATTGTTGTTTTGTAGAAAATATTGTTGGGAGATAATCATTAGGTAAATAAATTTTATTTATGTAAATTATAACTTAATTTCAATTATGTTTTGGTTATTATTATTTTGTTGAAATAATACATAAATGTTAAATTAGTTTATATTTTATCTTTTTTTTAGGAAATGGTGCACCATAAATATCAATTTTATAATTGAGGTAATTTTTAAATTTTTTCATTATGCTATTTAATTATATTTTAAATTTGTCCTATAATTCTTATTTTTTAATGATGTCTTAATTATTAGTTTTAGCAAATAAATTCAATAATTTTTTATTTTTTGTAAAATTTTAATATTATATTTAATTTTTACAATATTAACAATAATATTATAAATTAAATAATATATAACAGTAAATTGATTAAATTAAATAAATATATATTAATTTTAATATTTATTAATCAAATATTTTTTTAGAATATTTTGGTATCAACAGTACTTTTGTCGGTAACTGGACTGTAGATATTTTTTTTTTGCCGATTCATATATCCCTTTTTTTATTCGTTGGTAAAAGAATCAGGAATAATATATATATATATATATATATATTACAAATTCAGAAACCAATTTTCTTATTAGAGTTTTGTCGGTAAATAAACAGAAATAATATAATTTTTTTTTTTACAAATTGGTAATCTAGTTTTTCTATTACAGTTTTGTCAGTAAATTAAGATTTGGTTCAAACCACAGTTTCCTTGGTGACAATTTTCAAATGTAAATTATTAATTATTTTGCAAATTGCTAATTTAAGTTTAAGATAAAGCTCTTGTTACTTTGTAAGTGAATATTTATAGAGATATATTTCATCCGTAATTTATCGACGTGATTCACTTGGAATGAGCTCCGGAAATACGGTTTCAGTAGTCAATTAAACATATGCTTTTGTTGGTAATTTGGAAGAAGTTACCAACGTGAGTTTAAGTCACATCGGTGAATTAATTACCAAACAAGCTTACATTGACACGACTATCATCGACATGATTCTTGTTGAAAATATTTTTTACCGACAAGATCCCCTCTGTTTTCGGACATGGCTTCTTCGTGATGCCGTGAATTCTAGTAGTGGGGGGCTAGTGCACAGAGGAGCGAAGTCCGAGTTTGGCTCTCTGGTAGGTGATTGGGTGGAGTGGCAGTAAGTCTCAGTTGCTTGGCATGGTGGTGGACGGTTCCTTGGGAAAGAGGGGAGGGAGGGTGGGAGGGCAAGTTGGGTGGCTTTGGTGGTTGGTACAGTGGAGGGATAGTGGAAGGTTGTCTGTTTGTCCACTCGCCCGAGCGCATTATTTTGCCATAGATGAACAACCATCATCGCAAAGAAGAATTTAAAAATAATGCTACTAAAATCGATTTCTATATTAAGCTTCCAATAAACCTCCATATAACTCTAGAATCCAAAGGCTAACAATATACTTACCCTATTTCTTGCAGTGTTAGCTCTTTATTCTTGATTTTCAATCGATTTGGTAAATTCTTAGATTGTGACAGTATTTTATATGGGGATTAATTTTAAGCCTTGAATAAAATAGATCAAATTTTAAGCCATTAAACTTAGTGCTAAAAATAAACTTTTATATTATATGAGGTTGCAAAAGATCATTTTGAATAGAAATTTGCTCGTATTGTCTATAATGACTTTTAAAAAGAAAAATTCATAATATGATCTCTTTATTTATAAAATTAGCACATGCTGCACTGTGATGTGGGTTCGATGTGTATGATATTGGCATAATAACCAAACCATAATTATAAACAATAAAAACATGGGAAGTAGACTCTCAAGTGCTACATTCCAATGTCTTTCACCCTAATTCATCAAGTTTAATCTCGCACTGCTCACTGAAGAGAGAAACTTTATACGAAGCACACTTTTCTCCAAACACACTGAAGACTAAATAAACAAACATTTCGGCATTTTCCTTAAAAGGTGCTGTAGTCTAGTTGCTACTCCTTGGGAGGATTAATGTTAGATGCTTTTCATTTTTTTACTTCTGTAATAAATTTGACTGAACAGTAGTATTTTCTCCAAAATCCAGTTGTTAGCGAATTCTTTTCTTGCTTTTATTACAAAAATAGGTGGCACGGCACTGAACTCATTCATCAAAAATCCGACCATGTAAACAGGTAGTTTCTAGTCCCTAGTGTGAATTCGCTTTCTCCGCCTCTCATTGCCGTTCAGTACAACTTCGAAAAATAGGAAGAGGTGGAGAAATATCGAGGACGAGGAGGAAAGGCTGCTGTGGGGTGGATAGATTTATGCGTTCAATTTGTGAGATTAAATTTATGGTCCAAAATGACCAAATTACATATCGACAGGTAACGAGATCCAACAGTATTAATCACCAGTTTGGACACCTCTTATTACATAATTCCTGCAGATTCTAACATATTCTCCTTTAAAATTTAAACCGTTTTGATATTCAAGACCAATTATTCTTTATGCAAAATGAGATAAAAGAAAAGAAATACCCCCTCTACCTTAAAATAAAATTAATTTTCATTTTTTAATTATTTTTTAAAATTAAGGATTTAAAAATAATTTATATCTTTCCTTATATAATCTTTTAAAAAATTAAGAAATAAAGATATACTTTTTGTAGTAAGATAATTATTTAAAGTAAATAAATAATAATAAAATTAAATAAAAAATGATTATCTACTTAAAAAATATATATATATA